ATTGGCAGGGCTCTTGTGCATTTTGAAAGTGCTCACTATAACCTGCAATGTCATTGGAGGGAGGGCCATTGGTATCTCCAGAGTGGTGGAAGTTATAGCTGTTTGTGGAGTTAGGAGATTGTCTGTCTAAGTATACACCCCTGCCACATAGATGGATGGACGGATGGACGGACAGAAAGACAGACAGACAGATAGATTTGGTGTTCTTGTGGCACCTTATGGCCTTTGGAGGTGTTTTTTGTGTTCACCACAAGCTACGGTTAAGCTTTCTGGGGGCTGTCAGGCCCTCAAGGTCTCTGCATGCTTTTTTAACTCAACCGTTTTCCCGTAATGGAGCCCTGTTTGCTTGTCCCATCACCCTAGGCAAGGTACTGCTAAATAAATTCATTCAATTCAGCCAAACACTCTCCTACATTTTTAGTCCACAACTGAAACTACCATGCATCATTAGGTAATGTAATGTTCAATAAATCCTGACTTAATGTATTGTAGTAGTAATATGCAATATTCTGGAATGATAGCAAAATTATGCTAGGCTTAGCGTTCAAGGTGAAATTCAGGGAAGGTGACGGTGGGCGGGGGGAGGAAAAGTAAATGCTCTGAAAAGTGAAGGAAACTGTGTTTTTCATCCACTGTTTCAGGTGACTCGCAACCCATTTATTCTTGCACTCTTGGTAAAGCAATTGTGGCCCTTACCATAGGATAAAAGGCATGCATATCTGACTTGCACGTTCCTTCCAGTTTGAAAACGTTGTGCAGTTGGACCACACAAATACATACACCTACCATCCTTGTGTTCGACTTGTGATTTTGTGAAAACAAAATTCAGCATACATATCTTGTTTGCTGTGACATACTGTGTTTTTGTGTCATAATAATAGACGATGGAACGGATAAGGACTTGAATGAGAGGATATAGGTTTTTTTGATATTGTTATTATGCACTGTCTTATGTCTAATTGCACTATAATTGTTCTCTTTGTTTATCAATGTATGTATTTTTATGGCATCGAATTGTGCTGATTGTGTATGCCGCTCTGAGTTGCCTTCGGGCTGATATGAGCGGGGTAGTAATAATGCAAATAAATAAATAAATAAATAAATAAAGCATTCTCTCCTGACATTTTGCCCACATCTATGGCAGGCATCTTCAGAGTTAGTGAGGTCTGTTGGAAACTAGGCAAGTGTGGTTTATATATCTGTGGAATGCCCAGGGTGGGAGAAAGAACGCTTGTCTGCTTGAGGCAAGTGTGAATGTTGCAATTGGACACCTTGATTAGCATTGAATGGCTTGCAGTTTCAAGGCCTGGCTGGTTGCTGCCTGGGGGAATCTTTTGTTGGGAGGTGATAGCTGGCCCTGATTGATTCTTGTCTGGAATTCCCTTGCTTTTTGAGTCTTGCTCTTTATTTACTGTTCTGATTTTAGAGTTTTTTTTATACTGGTACCCAGATATATAAGGCTCACTTACTTAGTTTCCAACGGATCCCTCAACTTCTGAGGATGCCTGCCATAGATGTGGGTGAAATGTCAGGAAAGAACGGTTCTGGAGCCATACAGCCCAGAAAAGTCACAACAACCCGGTGATTTTGGCCATGAAAGCCTTTGATTGGCTGCCAATGAGTTTCCGGTCCAAATTCAAGGCAGGTCCTGCCCTAAACAGTTCAGGACCTGTCTAACTTCACGATTGCATTTCCCCTACAAACCAGCACAAATCATCTGAAGAGGCCCTTTTCTCGCTTCCAGCTTTGTGTCAAGTGCAGTTTGTGGGGACCAGGGAGAGGGCCTTCTTGGTAGTGATTCCCAGACTCTGGAACTCTCTACCTAGGGAGATCAGACTGGCACCTACTCTGTCCATCTTCCACAAGAATCTAAAAACATGGATGATCTGCTGTGGCTTTGACTAGGCAGTTCCAAATAATTGGCCAATGTTACCTAAGTTTCTGGCACTTCAGCATGGCTCTCTGCTCTGTAATTCTGACATTTTAATGCCCAAGAACATTATTCTCCCAGTCCTGCCTTTCTGAATTTTGCATTTTCCCATAGCTATATCCAGGGATTTTGCACAAACTTAAAGCCCTCTGAACTCTGCACTTTATTGCTCAGCATGGTACTGTTTTTATGATGTTATGTTTTATTGTGATATGTTCTTATTTTGTTTTATTTTGATTGGTGGTTTTAACTCTTTGTTCTTTGGGCTTATCCCTTTGTAAGCCGCTCGAGTCCCTTTGGGGAGATGGAGGCGGGGTATAAAAATAAAATTATTATTATACTAGCCGTCCCCTGCCATGCCAGTCTGTGTATGTGTTTTGTGTGTATATATATGTGTGTGTGTGCGTGTATTTGTGTATATATGTGGTTTTGCACATATGTTGTAATGTAATTTTTTAATTTTTTATTTTTTGGCTTTTAAAATCCCTTCCACTGTGTTTTTCAGTGTTTTTATGAGTGATGGTCACTCGCTGACCTGATAGCTGTATTGTGTCCAAATTTGGTGTCAATTCATCCAGTGATTTTTGAGTTATGTTAATCCCACAAACGAATATTACATTTTTATTTATATAGATTATTCGACCTACACAGTCAGTTTTTAAAAGCTTGATGGCATCATGTCACGATGCCAGGACTCTGCCGTATTCAGGTAGAGATGAACCAAACAAACACCCAGTTTGTATCAAACAGTTTAATTAAAACAGCACTTACTGTCTGGCTGTTTTAATAGTCCAAAACATAAAGATAGCACTCAGCCACAGAATATAAAACAAAAACTGGCAGAAAACACTGTTGCAGGTTCAAGATAACACAATAGTCAAAAGATCCAGTCCAGTGGTCAAACACCGAAAGTTCAATGAGCAAAGTCCAGGGATCAAGAGTCTATACCAGTGATGGGCAACCTTTTGAGCTTGGTGTGTCAAAATTCGCCCAAAAGCAGAGCATAACTTGGGTAGTGTGTCGCTTTGAGAACCCCCCCCCCCCCATAACTTCACGATATTTAAAGTTTAAATAACAAAAATGTATAATTGCAATATACAGTATAACTTTAGGCAATTAAGGGATAACTAGCCTAACTGACCACAAGATGGCACATGTCTTTTAGGAAAGGACAGGGTTAATAAGCAAAAATAGGGGTTCATAAGGATGCACAACAGTAATAGTGGTGAAATGGAGTCTGTAATATTCTGCAAGATGGCGTTGTTTATGTAAATTAAGATGGCTGCTGCTATTTCTAATGGTGGGAAATGGCACCCATAGCACAGGCCCTTGCTTCTTCCAGCTTCCCCCTCACTTATCTCAGTAATGATGGTCAATTAGAAATCCATGACACCCTAGAATAGGAGATTGGATGATGGTTGCTGTGGTTATGTGGTTGCTGGTAATGGCGATCACAGGGCCCCCAGAGATCCATACCCCATGGCATTGCGCAGCTCCCTGCCCCACCGGCCGGAAGTGAGGTCAAAGATTCTCTAACAGCCTAACTGGAAGTCCCAGAACTAGATGCTCTGTGCCAGAGTTCTGTTGTATTGGCCTACAGACCTCCGGTATAGCGTGACTACAATACAATACAGCAAATGTTTCATCCTCGGCTACTGCACCTGGCATGCAGCCCCATACTTCTCTGTATGCTGGCGCATGCTGCCGCGTGTCATTGAAAATGGCTACACGTGTCAGTGCTGACACACGTGCCATAGATTCGCCATCAGGGGTCTCTACCGTAGTCAAAAGCCAGTCCAAAAGTTCAAGGTTCCAGGGTTCCAAGATTACCGGAGACAGGTCAGGATACTGAAAATCCAACAGACCTGGGGGGAAACCAGCAGCATCTACCACCAAAATAAAACAAATACTTGTCTGCCCAAGATCATTCCCAAAGCTAGTTCCTTATATCCAGAAACACCCAGCTGCAACCTATCTCTTGCATACCTCCACCCTTAATTGCTTTCACCCATGAACTCTTACTTACAGATTACTCAACCCTTTAGAACTAAGACTTACATTAACCCTGCCATCACCAACTGCTAGGCCTGCCACCACCAACCACCATCAACTGCAGGCAGAGGCAGCCCTAGGTAATTTTCAACGGTAAGCAAACAGTATTTCCCCCCCCCCCCCCCCACCAATCATTGATATATATTTTCTGTTTGTCGTGGGAGTTCTGTGTGTCATATTTGTTCAATTCCATCATTGGTGGAGTTCAGAATGCTCTTTGATTGTAGGTGAACTATACATCCCAGTAACTACAACTCGCATATGTCAAGGTCTATTTTCCTCCAAGAGCGCCCCAAGAGCGCCCCTGGGCAAAATCAACTATACTGCAAATGCTTACTTTGCGTAATGGGCTGAGCCGCCTCTGACTCCAGGACATGATACATGACACATCAGCAGTTATAAAAGGCTTGTAAAGGGAGATAAGGCCATATAGGACTGGCATTTGGACCCAAGGAGGTGATCGTGTCATGATGCTACCTGGAATCTCACATTAATAGAAAGATTACATTTCTGTTATGTGCCAAAAGATATGCATGTATGCACAGATACACACACATATATATGCATAGTGGATGAAGTCAAATGTGGCAGGTTTTAATTTCAAAATGTTACTACTTCGATAATTGTAAAAATGGATTGCATCACCCTGGTGTCTTGGAGACATTTTTCATATCCTATAAGCAGTTAATAATGGTAAAATATTGGCAAGAAGCCACTCCTCTTCTTTATGGTGTCTTTTTAAAAAAAGCAGAGCTAATTTCACTCCTTCCTTTAAACTTAATAGGATTAGCAATGACTACCAGTTAATCTCTAATAGAATTTATACAGGAAAGAGGGTAAGTAACTTGAAATGTTATAAAAATGTGTTCGAAGAGCAGGTAGAGTCGCTTTCTTTGCTGAACCTTTGGCTATTATTAGCAGCTAATCTGATATGCGGGAGATAAATGCACACTCCAGCTTGTGTCAGTCAAACAAGCTCCACGTTTATTGTATTTTTAATTTCTTTTTTTGGCAATAGGAAGATGAAATTATGCCCGCTAAATTTGATGAAAACTCCCTCGTTTGGGTTGCTATGGATCAGCCTATAAAGAATAGCAACTTCCTGAGTCCCAAGATTTTAGAGCTCTGTGGAGATTTGCAGATTTTCTGGCTTCAACCTTCCTATCCAAAAGGTAACTTTTTTTTTCTATTGTTGCCTCCAGTTTTTGTTACATGCTAGATTTAACTTTCTTGCTCATTCAGAGTCAATGTGCATCTTGTAGGAGCAACAGCTAAAGGGAAGGGTCAGGTACAGACGCACTTGTGAAACTCTGGAGAACCCTAAAGCTAAGCTTTTCCCCCTTTAGATTGCCTTTCACTCAATCATCTCACTTGCCCGTTAAGCCTAGTGTTATCCAGCAGTTTTACAAAGAGTCCTGTTTTCCTGATTAAGTTGGATGTTTCAAGGAAGTTGAAACCTTTTTGCACAGTGTGAACAATGTTCTAAACCTAAGATGTGAACTTTCCTGCTGGCTTTTGAATGTGCAACCAGATGTCTACAGCCTAATGAAAAGCAACCTTTAGACACAACATATTATTTAAGAACACAGAAATGCTGGACCACTCTAACAACTACCATATCAGACTAACAGAGAAGCCACTGAAATCCACAAGCATGTGGACAATTTCAACAGGAAGGAACAAACAATGAAAATGAACAAAATCTGGCTACCAGTATTTAAAAAAACCTATAAAATCAAAACAGTAAATAAAGAACAACACTCAAAAAAGGGAATTCCAGACAAACAATCAGGGCCAGCTAATCATGTCTCAACGAAGGATTCCCTGAGGCAGTAAGAAGCCAGACCTTGAAACTGCTGGGCCATTAAATGCTAATTAAGCCAGTCAGATGCAACGTTCACACCTACCTCCAACAGACAAGAGCTCTTTCTGTGGGAGTTGGTAAATGTAAATAAACAGAAGCATTACCACAGTTATTAAAGCAAGATATACCCTGCAGCATAATAAAGTGTCACTCAGGCTTGTGTAACAAGTACGTACTATGTATGTATAAAAAGTTCAAACAGGGTAACTACACAGTGTTCCCTCGCTAATTCGCGGTTCGCTTATTGTGGACTCACTGTTTCATGGGGAGCAGTGAGGGAACACTGTATAACTGCTCCCTGCTCCTTCCTCGCCAGGCTAGGCGCCCAAGGGTGCCCAGCCTGGTGAGGAAGGGGCCTCCAAGGTGGGGAGGAGCAGAGGGGGGCGAGGAGGAGGCCACCACTGAAGAGAGCCCTGGCGGTGGCATCCTCTTCTTCATCCCTCCGCTGCTCCACGCGCCTTCCTCATCAGGCTGGGCGCCAGGATTGAGTGCCCAGCCTGGTGAGGAAGGGACCTCTGAGGCAGGGAGCAGTGGAGGTGGCAAGGAAGAGGAGGCCGCCACTGAGGAGGTCCTTGGTGACTGCATCCTCTTCTTTGTCCTTCTGCTGCTCCATGCTCCTTTCTTGCCAGGTTGGGCCTGGTGAGGAAGGACCAGTGAGCCTTGCAGACCAGGCAAGTAAGGGGTCTGGTGCAGGCCCTGCCACCTCCCCCGCTGCGGGGTCTGGTGCAAGCCCCACCATGCTGGCGCCGCTTCCGATAGGAAAGGGGGAAAGGGGGAGGCCTCGCCTTTCTGCCTTTCCTATCGGAGGTAGCGGGGCTTGCACCAGATCCCGTGGCAGGAGAGAGGGCAGTGCCTGCACCAGACCCCGCTCTTGCCTGGCCTGCGAGGCCCGCCGCGCCACAACACCAGCACCACCTCCAGGGGTTTTGGACTTCAACTTCCATAATTGCCTACTTTGCGGTTTTTCACTTATTGTGGGGGTTGCTGGAACATAACCCCTGTAATAAGTGAGGGATCAGTGAGTGTGTGTGTGTGTGTGTATCAGTCTCTTTGAATTCACACAGAGAATAGAGGGAATAAAATAGTCCTTTTAAATAGTCTTTCAAATATGCCTCATGCCTTAAAATGATCAAGCTTCAAGATAGTTGGCAGCCAGCACTCTCTTCACTGTCCAAAGTGAAAGTGGAAATGACAGTTAGAACCGCTGGTCTCAGCAGCAAGCCAGAGACAGCAGCCAATCAGAACTCTGGCCCCTTGCATGCTCGGCCAATCAGCTGCCCACACATGTCTTTCCAGGTAACTCATTACATCAATGTGAATGTGTCCCTTTTCAAATCCTCACACTTTCGCCCACCCTGGATATTCCACAGATATATAAACCTCACTTGCCTAATTTCCAACAGATCTCACAACCTCTGAGGATGTCTGCCATAGATGCAGGTGAAATATCAGGAGAGAATGCTTCTGGAACATGACCATACCGATCCGGAAAACTCACAGCAACCCAGTGATTCCAGCCATGAAAGCCTTTGACAATATTTTTAGTATTATTGTTTCTTTGCTAAAAACCCTGGAGTACCCTAAAAACAAACAGATTTATGACAGCAGAAGCTGTCATGGACAAGAATCTGCTATCTTAGAAGATGATCCTCCATAAAATCTTGCACCAGCCACCCCCAGTGTGGGGCTCTCCAGGTTTTTTGATTTTTAATTCCTGTGAGTTCCAAGTAGCAAAGCTAATCATCAAGATAGATGGGAGTTATAGTCAAAAACATTTGGCAGGGATCTTGCTGAAGATGTTTGGCTTATGTCTTAGAAACCTGTTAATCAAAGGTGCCACAAGGACTTTGGTTGTTTTTTCCCCACACTGTTATTTCTTTTGTAGTTCGCTTCATACTAGTGCTCATTGGAGTAACTCATGAAAAAGAAGAATTTGTTTACTTGTGTTCTAGTATTTGTCGTCAATTATTTTTCTATTGTTGTGGAGATTTGGACTAGATTCTCAATACATTCTGTTGTGATAGGACCAAGGTGTATGATGTACTCCTTTGCATAACATAGGACTACATCAGGCGGGTGGGGGTAAAGCAGGAGAAAGCGTAGGGAATCGTCTTGCACAGTTCCTTCCCTTTTTCCCCATCTTCAGAAATGGTCAGTCATCTCACAAGCTTACTGACCTTTTCTCCATCTTCTCCTCACTTTCCCCCACATCCTGCTGCTTGGAGTCAGGTAACACATGACCCCTGAGGACTGTCTTTGGGCTTCGTTTCCATGCATTTGGGAAATGGAGTGCCACAGCGTCCCACCAGAAGAGTCCTTATGCCGTCTGATGGCCTCCGTGGGACACCTATGAGGCTCTGTTACCTAAACACATGGAAACAGAGGCTGAAGACTGTCTGATTAAGTCCTCACTTTCCCCCACCCCCTAATACAGTGCTAGACATTGAAATGAAATGTACTTCTTCAGTATGATGGGAATATAAGATACAAGTGTGATTCCTTAAAGCAGCCCTGTCCTCAATATCTGTCTTTGTAGCAGGGCAAAGGAGAAAGAGAGGGGCTACCAGGAAAGCACGCCAGACTCAATCAAACTTTGACATGGACCAGTTTGAAGCTGCTGCTGAAGAACGCAATACTCGGCCACGTGCCAACCAGCGGGCTCAGCCACGTGTTCGTCCAGCGAATGCTACCCAACCTCCTGTGCGTGACAACAGGCCACCCTTTAACCCAGATAATCCCTACCATGTAAGTATTGATAGTAATGAAATATTTTGGCCTATTTTGACCATCCCAGAATAGGACTTTCATTGTTTCCTCAGCAGCTAAGATAATCTTATTTCCCATCTGCTTCTATTAGCATTATGGATGAAAATTATATTGTTCCATATATATATATATATATATATATATATATATATATATATGTTGTTTATTCGTTCAGTCGCTTCTAACTCTTCGTGGCCTCCTGGACCAGCCCACGCCAGAGCTCCCTGTCAGCCGTCACCACCCCCAGCTCCTTCAGAGTCAAGCCAGTCACTTCAAGGATACCATCCATCCATCTTGCCCTTGGTCGGCCCCTCTTCCTTTTTCCTTTCATTTTCCCCAGCATCATACTCTTCTCTAAGCTTTCCTGTCTTCTCATGATGTGGCCATAGTACTTCATCTTTGTCTCTAGTATCCTTCCCTCCAATGAGCAGTCGGGGTTTATTCCTTGAAGTATGGACTGGTTGGATCTTCTTGCTGTTCAAGGCACTCTCAGCACTTTCCTCCAACACCACAGTTCAAAAGCGTCTATCCTCCTTTGCTCAGCATTCCGTATGGTCCAGCTCTCACATCCGTAGGTTACATTGCTTTAACTATGCAGATCTTAGTTGCCAGTATGCAGGCCCGTAGCGAGGGGGGGGGTTAGGGGTTCAACCCCCCCCCGAAATGTTTCAGATTTTTTTTAAAAACCTGGTTTACTCATGAATTTTAACTGGTTAACCCAATCCCCATGCTAAGTCTATGAGATGCAAAAAAACAAGAGTCCCTCCAGAACTGCAAGCACTATCTCAAGCAAATATTAGCAATTTATTCACACTGTCATTACTTGCAGCAATAGCCGATGTAGTTGTTCTGGTACAGCTGTACCAGGAGCTCCAACTTTATTTGCTTTGTATTAAATGTTTGTTTGCAGTCCTAGGTTTCAGGGACTCTGCAGATAGGTGGCTTCTTTGGTTGCAGTCATAGGGCAAGTCACCTGTCCATCATCATTAAGTTTTGGTCCTGCCCCTTGCTCAGGGCAATTGGGAAGGGAAGGGAGCCATTTTTAGTTAGTCTCAACAAGGTAAGCTTATGTATAGGATGTGTGCAAGCTTCCCCTGTACAAAAGCTTCAACCCTTAAGACCTTCCGGGGGAGAAAGGTCTTAAGAGTCTCCAAAGAATTTCCAGGAAAACAGCCCTAAAGACCAAAGAACTCCAGCTGGAGAACATCTACTGCCTTGCTGGTAGGTCCACTCGGTGTTTTGAGATGCAGTTCGACCCGGTAGCGGAGCCCACATCAGTAAGGGTTAGATTACAGTCAGCCTGGGAGAAGTTAAAAAGGGGATTTTCCTTTAAAGAAGAAGTTATTGAAGACAGTTGCCTGTCCTTCGTGGGCAAGATTAGGAATTCACCAGTTGCCTAAAGCTTGGAATCATTTGCTTAACTTTACTGAAGACAAGAGAAGTTTCTGTTTGATTGTTCATTAATAAAAGACTTTGTTGTACTTCTCAAGCCATCTAAAGACTGTTTGTGGTGGAAACCTCTGAGAACTTCTCTTTAGGCCCCCTGGCTTCCCGCTGGGCAAAGGTTGCACATCGTGTTCTAAAGACAATTATTTACAGGCCCAGCGCTCGACAGAACAGTAGTGATGCAACCAAGTTGGGGGAAGGGGGAGACGTTGAATGTTCTCATTAAGGAGGCCAGACTTGGTGGAGGTGGTTGACAAGGGCGGAGCTGCAGGCTATTGAAGGCTGCTCTGCCCCCTCCTGTGCTCTTTGCTTCAGCGTGAGCTAGGAGGCAGGTTTCAACCCCCCCCCGTGAAATTTTCAACACCCCCCCCCCCCCCGAAAATTTCAACCCCTCCCGAAATTTTTTTCTGGCTACGGCCCTGCCAGTATGTCTCTACTCTTTACTATTTTATCGAGATTAATCATTGCTCTCCTCCCAAGAAGTGTCTTCTGATTTCCTGGCTGCAGTTTGCATCTTCAGTAATCTTTGCACCTAGAAATACAAAGTCTGTCACTGCCTCCATGTTTTCTCCCTCTATTTTCCAGTTGTCAATCGGTCTGGTTGCTATAATCTTGTTTTTTTATATTTAACTGCAACCCAGCTTTTACATTTTCTTCTTTCACCTTGGTTAGAAGGCTCCTCAGCTCCTCCTCGCTTTCGGCCATCAAAGTGGTATCATCTGCATATCTAAAGTTGTTAATGTTTCTTCCAGCAATTTTAATCCCAGCCTTGCATTTGTCAAGACCTACACCTCACATGATATGTTCTGCATACAAGTTGAATAGGTTGGGTGAGAGTATACAACCCTGCCATACGCCTTTCCCAATCTTGAACCAGTCTGTTGTTCCATGGTCAGTTCTTACTGTTGCTACTTGGTCCTTATACAGATTCCTCAGGAGAGAGACAAGGTGATTTGGTATGCCCATACCACCAAGAACTTGCCACAATTTATTATGATCCACACAGTCAAAGGCTTTAGAATAGTCAATAAAACAGAAATATATGTTTTTCTGAAACTCCCTGCCTTTCTCCATTATCCAGCGGATATTGGCAATTTGGTCTCTCGTTCCTCTAGCTTGTACATCTGGCAACTCTCGCTCCATGTATTGCTGGAGTCTTCCTAGCAACAGGGAGTTTTTTCCCAAGAGATCTACTACTCAGCAGTGGAAGTTCAATCACTCATAGATGACAGGCTGACTCTGAAATGTAATCTTGGATGTTTTCCACAGCAGACTACCATATTTCTTGGATTCTGAGATACCATAGATTGTGATATACACACAATTTCAGTGCCAACAACTTTGGGGGGGAAATCTTTATATAAAGACAGTTCCCAAGTTATGAACAAGATAGGTTCTGTAGGTTTGCTCTTAAGATGAATTCGAAAGTCAGATCAAGTACATTTTTTAAGTGCAACTCCAGCCAAAAATACATAAAAATGAGGTTTGGATTCAGAAGATTTCCCTCACTTTCTATCCCTGTGATAACTGGATTGTGAACATTTTGGCTTGTTGTTGAAACAAGGGTTGGTGATAAAGCTTCATTTGAGACCCCTTTTCGCCATGATAACTTTCTCAGGGGTGAATTTTCCTTCCGAGGGGTAGATTTCTCTCACTTCCTGTTGTCTCAGCCTCATTCTTAACTAGAAGTTGTTTGTAAGATGGGTGTTTGTAAGTCGGGGACTGCCTGTATATGAAAAAGCACTTGTGATTCTTTTTTGAAATATTTATACGCGAAATGCCTTAGAATGGAAGGAATACAGTATTAGCAAAAGACAATTGTGCCAGTTCTTGCAATCACCTTGCACAGTTCTTTAAAATTTCCCAGAAATGCCATTTTCTCAGAGGATCCAAGGTAAAAATTAATGGACTATAAAATAAGTGAAAGATAAGAAAGGCAGTTTGTGTTTTTCATCAGCTAAGTAGTTTTGATCTGACCAATCAATGATAACAGAGGATTATTCCTTCATCTTTCTTCCTCTGTAGTTCTTCCAAGTGCTTTCCTTTTAAGTCAGAAAACAAATATTAAAAATTATTGTAGATTTTTTTAAGACCAGAGGGAACATTTTTCTAGAACGATGAAGCAAAAATCTAGTTTTGCCTCTTTTATTGGAAAAAAACACACCTTGTGATTGAAGCATAGTTTAATAAACATTCAGGACCTAACTATGCTGTGCTACAATAAATCTTGGAACAGAGTTTGAAAATTTTACTTTTGAGAGGTTACTACTTGCACTACTTAAAAATATGCTTCTTGTATGTTAAATTTCAGCAGTTAGAAGGTGGTGAAGGGATGAGCTTTGACCCTCGTCTGGATCATGAAGGCATCTGCTGCATCGAATGTAGACGGAGCTACACGCATTGCGAGAGGATCTGTGAACCTCTTCTGGGCTATTATCCCTGGCCTTATAACTACCAAGGATGCCGCACTGCTTGCCGACTTATTATGCCTTGCAGTTGGTGGGTTGCCCGCATCTTGGGTATTGTATAAAGTTGCTTGGAGTTCCGGACTATGAAGAGGAAGTGAGCATATACAGGCATTCCTTAAGTTACTGTAGTAATTGTTTTGCTGTCTGTGCCCCTGTTCAAAACATTTCACCTCACTTTTTGTCCCTGTGATACCCTGTTTTGCCCAAAATAAGGCAGGTATTATATAATTTTTTGTTCCAAAAGATGTGTTAAGGCCTGTTTTCAGGAGCTGTCTTGTTTTTCTAAATTGATTTTTTAATGAACTATATCTAGGGCTTATTTTTGAAATATTTCAAGCATCCTCAAAATCCTGAAAAATCATGATAGGTCTTATTTTCAGGGTAGGTCTTATTTTGGGGGAAACAAAGTAATTGGATTGTGAGAAATTTTACTTGTTGTGGAAACAATGATTAGTGATAAAGCATCAGTTGAGACACCTTTTCCCCCGATAACTCTTTCAGGCCGCTCTGAGTCCCCTTGTGGGGAGAAGGGCGAGATAGAAATGTATGAAATAAATAAAATAAATTCAGTCATGAATCTCTTTCCTAGAGGTAGATTTCTCTCACTTCTCATCTCGCCTCTGTTCTTAACTATGAGTTGTTTGTGAGTCAGGTGTTTGTAACTCTGGGACTGCCTGTACTTAAAAGCCTTTCACCTTGCATCTGTGTATATGCTAACGTTTTTTTTAAAATGACATCTGCTGTTGTAGATGTAAATAACATTAAAGATTTAAATTAATATTTCATTCATTTTACAAATGCAAAATCGAAAGTGGGTAAACTATATTGTAAAACCATACCTTGGCGAAAATTAAGAAGAATCTATGATTAAGATTTGTCAACACAAATGTTCATTTGCATCACCTCTCGGTGTATCAAGAGTTCCTTTAGAAATGTTTACCCAGTCCTTGTGTTACTATATAGATGTGAACATTTGTCCAGTTAGATTATTAGCTAGGCCTTTCGGGAGTACCTTTCAAAAATGTAGAACTTGACAAATAAATCATAAGTGAAGCTGCTCGCTGTTGTTATTCATATCGAACCACTAGATCATTACAAAGCTGTTAGAAACCAATTACAGCACATTTTTCCTACTGAGCTTCTGCGGGAGGGAAGGGCAGGGCCAGAAATAGATTCATTCATCGAATCCAAAAACTGAAGTTGCCACATGGAGCAGGTCCAAGCAAAATCTGCTCAGGAAGCCATCAGATGAAAGTGGCCCAAGGTACCTGTGTCAATGCTACCTTGTTTGTTAGTAGTAAGCGTTGGCTTTCGAATATGTTTTGGTGGAAAGTGGGTATTAGCATAATAGTTTGCAGCCTCGGGGTACATTATAATTCCAGAAGTGAGTAGAGCGTGTACTTCTGCCAAGTAGGAACACACAGAGACATTTGAAGATAAATTGGAAACATCTGCTATCAGCTAGCTTTGTACCATTAGGCAACCATGGGGAAAGGGGAAGAAAACAGCCCTTTTTACAAATGCAGAAAGAAGAAAAATGTGATAAGATACCTAAATGCTCACTATTTGAGTAAATTATTAGCAGGTTAAAATTGTACATATCAATTAAATGTCTTAGGCCCCTTCCATGCAGTTGAGTAAAAGCTCACATTTTCTACTTTGAACTGGAACATAGGACTCACATAACCCAGTTCAAAGCAGATATTGTGTGATTTTCTGCCTTGATATTCTGGGGGCCCTTCCACACAGTCCTATATCCCAGAATATCAAGGCAGAAAATCCCACATTATCTGAATGTGGACACAGATAATCCAGTTCAAGGCAGATATTGTGGGATTTTCAGCCTTGATATCCTGGGATATAGGGCTTTGTGGAAGGGCCCTGGGTTATATGGCTTTGTGGAAGGGCCTTCAGATAACCCACTTCAAAGCAGATATTGTGGGATTTTCTGCCTTGACATTCTGGGTTAAATGGTTGTGTGGAAGGGTCCTCTGATGCAGTTGCAAAAGACTCTACCTCACTGCAGACTTACCACGAGTTCAGTGATTCATATAAATGAGTTGTAAAGAAAGGAACTGGAATGTGGGGCATATCAAGAATTATAAAGAATTAAATTTGCAAAGTAAATTGTTTAAATTATTCTTTTACAAAAATATATATTTGGGTCCTGGCACTCCTATCAGATTCATAGTTCAAAAGGACAAGCAGCATGGGAAGCATGAAAAATACAAGGCATTAGAACTGGTAGGGCTGCTGGTTTTATATCTGGAAACTAGAGATAAACATTTTAATTGGTTTGTTTTTACTCACAACAGTGGGAACTATTTTATCTGAATACAACATTTGTGCGGCTTTTTAAAAGGTAAAGAAAAAAAGGAATCTTGTGGCACCTTTAAGGCTAAGCAATTTATTTCTTCATAAGCAATAGCCTCCATTCCCAAATGAATGTTTAAGGTCTTAGAAGATAGTTCAAGTGATACTAGTTCGTCACATTTACAATTTAAAGGCAAGTAGGACGTGTCAATCGGAAATATAGGCACACGGGCAAGCTAGGGCAGCCTGGCAGTCAGATCCCCTGGGGAGTCATGAGGTGGGTTTCAGAGAGTTCGCCAAAGACCATCAGAAAACATATATTTTGATGGTCTTAGGAACCCTTTTGACAGAGAAGACTGAAGATCTCTCCACCTGTCCTTTATTCCTTTTTGGAAACAGACAGCAAATCCTCCCACCAAAAGGCCTTCTCCACTGTAATTGGTCTGCCTCTCAGCCAAGGAAAGGGCTTTTTCTGAAACTCCAAGCAGGAAGGGGAGAGAAGGCGTGCTTGGTGCATGGCAACGTGGCATGCATGCGCGGGCAAGGGAGAGCATGCGAGGTTTGTGCCAGTGAGTCCCTTCAAGGCATGGAGGTTCTGTATGGGAAGTTTGGCTCAATTCCATCATTGGTCAGGTTCAGAATGCTCTTTGGTTGTGGGTGAACTGTAAATCCCAGCAACTACAACTCCCAAATGTCAAGGTCTATTTCCCCCAAACTCCACCAGCGTTCACATTTGGGCATATTGAGTATTTGTGCCAAGTTTGGTCCAGATCCATCATTGAGTCCACAGTGCTCTCTGGATGTAGGTGAATTACAATTCCAAAACTCAAGTTCAATGCCCATCAAACCCTTATGTTATTAAATAGCAAAATATATATATTATTTTATGGTTGGGGTCAACACAACATGAGGAACTGTATTAAGGGGTAATGGCATTAGGAATGTTGGGAAACACTGGGCTAGGGCATGAGTCTTAAGATGAAAATCATAGGCAATCTTATTGTTCTCAAGAAAATTGCCAAAAGTGGGAGCAACTTTTTCTCGTAGCTACTACTGGTACACACAGGCTGAACTATGGAAGATGCTATGAAAGACTTACCTGCTTGCATACATGTGAAGCAACTGAAAGATATATACACACCCAGGCAATTATTTTGCTTAATGTAAGTGTCTAATGCTAGGAGACGTGAAAGTGTATTTAACTGAAACGGAGAATGGTTAAAAGACTTCAGTTTTATTTATAGGGATGTTTTTCTCAGACAAAATAAAAACCCTTCCTACTCATGATAGAAAATGTGCTGCTAATACCCCCATTTACTTTGATTTGCATACACTATATGCTAAGCCTACATACATTTTGTCAAAGGTTTATTTTAGCTTTTAAGAGAACTCACAAAAATGTCAGTCACAACATTTCTGTCTAGCATGCAGTTAATTGGCTGTAATTGCCATTGAAAGTGTGGAAATCCTTATTTTTAGAAGAAATTACTATGCTTTGTTTTAAAGCCTAAAGTTTAAAAACCATTTAATGCAAATGCAGAACTCCTCTGCTGGTGACACCACTTGTATAACCTCCCATCCTACACTCATTTGTACATCAAACAACTGAAAAACTTGAAATAAGACTTAGTATTTCATCAGACTTGCATTGCCAATATTATGAGCTAATTACAGCTCAAGTATTCAATATCCCATTTTCGGGGGGGGGGGTGCAACTTGCAGTTGACATCTTACTAATAATCAATCATTAGGTAACACATTGACTACAGCAAATATTTTGATTACTAAATTCAGACCACTAAAGAATGGCTTAGTAAAATAAAACGTACGACCGACCAACCAACATACAACCGAGTTAGGAAAGTCTGTAAGTTTTTGAAATAGGCACAAACTGTTAAGAAATGTATTTTCTATTTAAGGTTCTTTCATAAGCTGTTGGACCAGTTGCCATTTAATCTGTACCAAGATATATCCAAAGTAGAAATGTTTAATTAGATCATTCTCATATTAGGTATTTATTTCTATTATGTTTTCCAATTACACAAAACAAGGCATGTAGTTTTTTGATAGTCCACTCTTTTAAATTAATTTTTGTCATGTCAGGAGTGACTTGAGAAACTGCAAGTCACTTCTGATGTTAGAATATTGGCCGTCTGCAAGGACATTGCCCAGGGGATGCCTGGATGTTTTGATGTTTTTCCACCCTTGTGGAAGGCTTCTCTCATGTCCCTGCATGGAGAGCTGGAGCTGATAGAGGGAGCTCATCCGTGCTCTCTCTGGATCGAACCTGCAGCCTGTCGGTCTTCACTCCTGCCAGCAAAAGAGTTTAACCCACTGTGCCACCGGGGGTTCCGATTTTAAATTATTTTAAATTATAACTGGAACCCATTAATCTGATACATGAATTTTTTTTTACCATATGTTGAATTGATGGATTCTGGTTGACTATTAATTAAAAAGACTTGAAAGAGCAGAAGCTGGATGACTCCAGGACTGACTCCTTTCTTGCGCACACTCCTCCCACCAAGATAAATCAGCCATTGTTAGAGATCCTGAACCACCAGAATTGCAGAAGAAAAAGCAAGGATTTCCTCTTCAGAGTTGTTCTTCGCTGTTTGTTTTAACTTCGCTATTGTAACCCAATAGATTCCATCAAAAACAATCCCAGGCAAAAACATCATTGTAGGCTATCATTCGTGTCAGAGTATGATTGTCTTCCAAGGTGGAGTCTTGGTGGTGAATCTGTAAGTGATTGTAGAGATCTATTCTAGATGCATGTGGTCTTTCGCAATGAGGACATACATTTCTAGGTGGAAGATGGTCCCAACAAGAATTTGCTTAACATGCCTTCTGGTTGACATGTTTTTCTTTCATCTTTTATTCATCCCTCTTCAAAATCCACAGCACTGTTGGGAACAGCTGACCTCCAGTTAGAACGTTGGAGGGCCATGGCTTCCCAGTTCTCGGTGTTTATTCCACATTTTTAAGGTTAGCTTTAAGCTCGTCTTTAAATCTCTCCTGCTCTCCACTGACATTCCGTTTTCCATTTTTGAGCTGAGAGTAATTGCTTTGAGAGACAATGTTTGGGTATTCAGACAACATGGCTAGTCCAGTAAAGTTGATGGACATACACTGTTCATTTATAATTTTTCTCAAATTTGAGCAATCCATATAGGGGGAAAGCAGGACTCCTCATCAAGACAGTCCAAAATCCCTCACAGTTATTTGACAACAGCCAGCTTCAACTTATTCTGGGATGAAGATCTAGCATGGAGGAGTCAAATAGTGTGGGAAACAATGCATTTCAGGGGAACTGTATTAATGATTTCTGTACTCAAAAGTGAAAATAAGGATCAAGTAAATAAAAATCTTCTACTGTTCATGGCATGTGCCCCAAGACTAAAAATAGAGAAAACCTATAGGAAAGTTAAAGAGTCTGACAATAAAGAAATGATTAAGAGAATATGGGAGATAACTATTGGAAAAGTTACACTATACATTAAGATTAGCAAAAGGAGAATTGCAAGATGTATTTGGTAGCACTTAGAAACCATTTATTATCTTAAGGTGTTCAAAACAATGGTGAATTTAATCCACCAAAAGCAAGTAAGACTGTGGTTGAGCAATGAATGAATACATTACAATAATTATATGTAAAGGATAAAATTTGAATAATGTAGAAGTAATAGAATTGACAGTGTTGTATTTTTATAATCTGAGTAATGGGAGGCTTGGGAGGGGATA